GGTGTCGGGCGAGGTGAGGGGAGCTGGAGATTTAACGGACGAACAGCGCCCGCAGCCCTGGTGAGAGGAGGAGAGCTGAGCTGCCCTCGGGCCGGCTTCGAGAGGAAAAAAGTGACTCGCTCGGGCTTGGGGAGGCTTCTGGGCCGTGGTCCTCCCTGCTCTGAGCGAGACCCGCTTCAGGCAGGATTTGAGATAAACTCTCCCTGCCTTTGGGTACCCCCACAGTGACCAGAGCCAGGCTTGATAATTTACTCATATGATCTTTTTATCTGTAACAGGTTCTCCTAACACCTCCTACACACCTTGACACATCTTGTCTGGAAGTTGGATTGCGAGTCAAATATTGACTTGGCTGATGTTCGTCTAAATCACGTATCTGAAAATGCAGTCACAAAACGGAGACTCGGACAAGGGCCTTGCAGGGGAGGCCGCTGCAGAAGAGGTGTCAGGAGAGTCTATGAACCACACCAGCAACAAAGCTGCCCAAACAGAAAGGGAACGCAGTTCCGTTGGCACAGGTGAGCCCTTCCAGCTGGCTCGCAGGGGTGAATTTAGGGAACCTTACTGAACATAAAGCCTAGAAATCAAGTCTGTCATTACTCATCTTGATGCACTCTCAGTTTATTCTATTCTCCCACTAAAGTAAATTAAAATCTTGCCATAATTGAAGCTTACTGAAGTGCTTTTTTTTCCCCGTTTCTTTAATTTTCTTCTTGCTGGAGAGATATCTTCCTGTGTTGCAATCATACAGCTAGCCTGACCTCTAAATGTTTTAATTACAACCATATATAAATGAGCTGGTACAATCATCTTTTTTGCATTGTCTCTTTTTAAGCATACAGACTGCAAGTGCAACTAGAAAGTGCAGAGCAAGAATCTGAGGAGAAGAGTATTGAAAATCAAAGGCAGTCTAGAGACAGCTTGGATGATTACAGCGCTGGAGACACCTTCCGAAGAGTGCAAGAGGGTAAATTTGTAGAAGAGCCAGACTAACAAACAGCACTTGAGATAACTCAGATACACCATTCCTGTAGTCTCTTTACATACAGAGTTAGCAGTCTTGTTAAATTCAAATTATTGTTAATTAAATGTCATCTATAATAGCTGTCTAAAACCATAAGAACATTGGTGACAGTATTTTACGTCACTGTATGTTATAATAATCTTAAGACTAGTGGGTACTACCTGACTTCCAGATCTAAAAAAAAAAAAGAAATGCAGATTTCAACAATTTATTTTGCTACTACTTATTTTACTACTTTGCCTTTTAAAAAAGTTAAGTTGCCTTTCATTAAAAATCTCATCAGAAATCTTGGTTAGAACACCCCTTTTCTGGAAATTCATAGTGCTCTTCAATATTTCTCTGAAGTAATTGCCAGCTTGACATGTTTTCCCCACTCACACTGTTAATCTGCAACTTGTTATCTTACTCACAAAGATGTTAAAATCCAAGAGAAAGGCACCACCAACCCTACATCCAGAGCAGATCAAGAGAATGAACAAAAATCAGACAGTGATCACAAAGGGGTCACGAGCTCAGTCAGTCAGAGGACAGAAGAAAGGAGGGGCTGTGTGAGGTAATACATTGTTTGTGGTTGTTTTTTATTGACATCTTGGCATCACCGAAGTCAGTGGGAGTTTTGCTGGTTTATATGTTAATCTTAATCCAGGAGAATAATTTTGAAGATGAACTTGAGAATAATAAATAAATCAGGAATTGGTGATATTTCCAGCCACTGTACAGCTTTTTTTTACAGGCACAGTAGCAAACTACATTCTACCAACCTGATGGACCTGGAGAAAATTGTGCAAATTCTTTTAGGAGTATTGTTCAGTAGATTTGACTATTTCTAAGCATCAATCCAGGCATATTAATTCATCACAATGTAAATATTTACCGTTGTCAAGATATTTTTTCCCAGAGGAAATCCAGAGGTTCCTCAGATGGTTCACAATAAGACTCATCTCCTTTGTAAGCTCTGGTCTAATTTTGGACCAGCCTAAACCAGCATACGCTGCAACAGCTGTTCATTAATAGTTGTGAAATGGAATTATTCTCATGTTATCACTGATGAAGCACATTGTAAGCAAATAATAAAATTAAACTCCATATTTTGTACTGTTTAATAACATTGTTTAAAGTCTGGTCATGTGGGCAAGTTATGGAGTGGTATATAAGGACCAATGAAGATTTGCCTTCTGTTCCTGTACCTGCTTACATGTTGGTAAAGCTTCCCACAGTTTATTTTGCTGCCAGCTTTGACGAAGCTGTTCTGTTAGAGACACAGTCCTTTTAAGTCAAGGGAAGGACTCTCGCTGAGTTAGCAGGAGGTAGATTGGACTGCACTTACATAGAAAAAACTTAATTATCCTGGGCTAATCAGCCCGACACATTTCAGAATTAAGTTCTTATGAAGAGTGGTGGCAGAGAGTAATAACTGCACCTAAGATAATTAATGTTTTGAAGGAACACATTTTATGATCCTATAAATTGCTAATAATTTGATTAAATGCTGCTACAAATAGCACAATGAAAAACAGGGGGATATACTGCAAGTGACTAGCATACAATAATGTACCTGGTCTGGAAATATGAGACAAAAGTATATATTTTAAAACAAAAAAAAAACCCACACAAAGATTTCAGAATTAAATACTTTTTTTTTTGTTTTGCTTCTTCTTCCTGCTCTTATTTTAGAATGACAAAAAAGATTCTGCGAGACATCTGTAAACAGCAGAAATTATACTCGACCCCGTACTTAAATGATACACTTTACTTGCATTACAAAGGTAAGATGTGGGCATGACTGTTTAAATTTATCACAGTAAGTGGTATTTTAGCAGAGAATCTAGTTTATGGCTCACTGAATTAAAGTGTCTAATAATTCTTTTACATTAGAAACATAATTTAATTTTCTGTAATAATGAAATTGTGAAACAAAATGAGGCAATATGAAGGTAGAAAAGTGAACTGATTATAGACCTAATTCACTTGGTGGAGTCATTCAAAGGTTCAGTAGGAATCAAGGGACACTTTTTCCCCCCCCCTCAAAACAGTAGCCTCTGAGAAATATCTTCAAATATTGGTCTGGGTTGCATTCAGAGCAAAATATATGTATTTCTTCTTAAATATGTTTGTATAAAGAAGCTGTTTTCTAGCTTTTTTTTTACTGACAAATAAAATGGTCAGGAAGAAAATGAGCATTAAAGCCTTGCTGCATGTTCTTAAATCCTACGGAAAGAAGTTGCCAGCATGAACGTGGATCATTCTCTTGCCATCTTTGAGCAGGTTTTTGCATGATAACAGTTAGCTGGTTCAGGTTAACAAAAGACATGCTAAATCTACCTTCTACATTTGGCCTTGTTTTTCTCAATATTTATTATTTGAGCATCTGAAGAGCTGCTAAAGCTACACGAATACGTACCTATATGTTTTACCCTTTATGGGCCAGGTACTGTACTATTAATTCAGTAGAAATCTTGGCAGCAACTGTACCAGCTGAATATAAATGTCACAGGCTGTTTCAGCAGCACTGGTTTAATGAAATTGACTCTTGCGAAGACTTTTGTTTTCAACCAATGTAATTTCATTTTAAAACATCTTTTTTTCTGCAGGATTTGACCGCCTGGAGAATCTTGAAGAGTACACAGGATTGAAGTGTCTATGGCTGCAATGCAATGGCTTAACAAAAATCGAGAATTTGGAGGCTCTGACAGAGTTGCGTTGCCTTTACTTGCAGCTCAATTTAATTAACAAAATTGAAAACCTCGAACCCTTACAAAAGCTGGATTCCCTCAATATCAGTAACAACTACATTAAGACCATTGAGAATCTCTGTAAGAACCGTTGGTACAATGTTTTAACCTATAATGAGCCCCTATTCCTAAGCTTTGACTAACTAAGCTATTGTTAGTGACACTAGTTTCAAGGATGTTTTTTATTGATGTTAAAATTTTGCACAATATTCCACACCGAAGTCCCCAAGGCTTCTATTGAAGAGTCACACCTACCTGTTTTGCAATTTAAATAGCTGAGTAATTACTTTCACATGGATACCTAGGACAATTAAGTCATTTTTCCTCACTTCTTAATATCATATCTCGGTACTTATCTGTGTTGCAGACAGGCTGACAATCCAGTTTGCACAATTTACTTTACAGATGTGCTTTTAAGATGTGCTTTGGCAGTTGCAGACATGATTACCCAATCTTTTATGTCTGTTATTTATTCTATCTACAAAAGAAAATAAAAAATAATTCATCTACACTATCATTTGTGTACATTGGAAGTGATTTGAAACCCAAGCTCTTGCTTTTGTCTAACTGACTAGTCTGAAACATCAGTTAAAAACAAACACCATCCTCAAGTATTTTTCCCAGGATGAAGAAAACAGCCTATTTTTTCTAGCCAAAAAGTGCATATAGCAGAATAACAAATTTAGGGAAAAAGCCCCCAGTTCAATAGAAATAATTATGTTGACAATGCAGTTTTCTGTGAAGCAATGACTCTCACCTTTCCTCTCATTCTACTGGTCTTGTCCGACAGCTTGTCTGAAAGTCCTGCAGACTCTGCAGATCTCTCACAATAAGTTAGAAGCAGTAGAAGACATCCAGCACTTGCAAGAATGCCCAAGTATTTCTGTTCTTGATCTTTCCCACAACAATCTCAGTGATCCAAGTATTATAACTGTTCTGGAGACCATGCCTAATTTGGTAAGCTGGGTATAACTGGGGGTTTGTGTCATGTATGTGGGTGAATCCCATTAAATGGTTTTGTTGGGTAGTCCAGTGCACAGTAGGTATTGATCTAAAATAAATGTTATCAGATATTATTTTTGTAGAATACCTGTAACACCCAGGATGTTTTATTCACTTCTTGTTTTTTAAATGATAGGGAAAGTGCATCTCAGATTGGGTTTTTTTGCTACTCAACTTTCAAAATTGTTTCCCTTGTTTCTCTAGCGTGTGCTGAATTTAATGGGAAACCAAATGATAAAGAAAATTGCTAATTATAGAAAAACACTTACTGTCCGACTGAAACAACTAACATATCTGGACGACAGACCAGTTTTCCCAAAGGATAGGTAAGAAGCAGAGCCATCTTCTTGACACAGCAATAAAGCTCAAATGCTAATAATAACTCATCAGTTTTTTGTCAATATTGTCAAGTAAGACTGACCAGTATAATTTATTGAGGGTGGGTGACTCAATAAAGAGTCATGGTGTGATACAAGAGTATTATATTATGGAGTTCTACAGCTAACATACCTAGGGGAAAAAAAACCCCAAAAACATGTATTTTTCCACAAGAGCATTAATTCTTGAACAGAATTGTTTTATGCCAAGTCTGTAGACCAGAGGCAAATCCTGATTTAAACAGAAACTGAACAAGTGTCTGGAAAAGCAGAGCCAAGATCAGCACTCCTGGCAGATCTGAGGGCTGGAGCACCTCTCCTATGAAGACAGGCTGAAAGAGTTGGGGCTGTTCAGCCTGGAGAAGAGAAGGCTCCGGGGAGATTTTATAGCGGCCTCCCAGTACCTGAAGGGCCTACAAGAAAGCTGGGGAAGGACTTTTCATAAGGGCAGTTAAGGACAAAACAAGGGGAAATGGGTTTAAGCTGAAAGAGGGGAGGTTTAGATTAGATATTAGGAAGAATTTCTTCACTGTGAGGGTGGTCAGACACTGGAACAGGTTGCCCAAGGAAGTTGTGGATGCCCCCTCCCTGGAAGTGTTGAAGGCCAGGCTGGATGAGGCTTTGAGCAACCTGGTCTAGTGGAAGGTGTCCCTGCTGATGGCAGGGGGGTTGGGACTGGATGATCTTTAAGGTCTCTTCCAACCCAAACCATTCTATGATTCTATGATCTCTGGTGGTATAATCAGCAATATTTGGATATCTTTTGTTTCTTTTGTTGCAGTTCCATATACAAGATCAGATACACGTGCATCCCTGTTGCGTAGGGATGGTCATTACTATGTTGGTTTTTTTTTCTCTTGCATCTATTTTATGCTGTTACCAAGCTATTTTAAATTTCTCTTTCATTATAAAGATGGGCTTTTGTAGTGATATTAGAGTGAACTTCTGTGTTTTCATTAGAGCCTGTGCAGAAGCCTGGGCTGCTGGAGGGCTTGAAGCTGAGAAAGCAGAAAGGGAAAAATGGGAAACCAGAGAGAGAAAAAAAATCCAAGATAGCATCGATGCTTTAGCAGCAATCAGGAGAAGAGCAGAGGAAAAGAAAAGACGACAGCATATGGAAGAAAGAGGTGCAAGTGCAAAAGGTGGAAATGGAGGTGCAACAGACATCCTAGAAGGTTTGTTCTTAATATTTTGGAAGATGTCTGTGTTTAAAATAAATGAATAGTTCCCAAATGTTCAGAAGCAGGCTGATGCCATTTTTGGGAGGTATTTATGAATCTTCTTTTCCCGTACTGAATACTTTATTAATCTTGGTCCACCTTAGATTAACCAGAACTATTTTAAGCAATTGTCACCTTTCTCACTGCTGATGAAACAAAAACCACAACAAACCCCTTTCTATCACAGTGTTTCAAGCTCTCCTGCCCTTCAGCAGAACAACCAGGTGCTAGTCAGGGCAATACTGGTTCCAGCAGGCATTCATGGGTGCAAGGCAGGTAGTTACACCCCAAGAGTGGTATTTCCCCAAGATGCAGAACAGGGCTGGCGTCAGTGGGCTTGTGGGCTCCAGTAAGACCCAGTGAGAACCGCCTCACTGGTCCCTATCCAGGCACTTTGCTGCTGCTTTCACTAACAGTAAGAGCTTCAGCCTACAGCAGTGGTAATACCGGCAGTAAGAGGAAGGTCTTCAATCATTAGCTTCCTTACTGCCCTTTTATGCCACAAATTCTCCTGTCACATTATTTGAGGAGGCATACATTTACAACCAGTAATAGGTCCCAACCCAACCTTTCTAGAGAAGTGAATGTGTTTCAGGATACACAGGACTGAAGCCAAAGGAGGAGGCAGCACTAGAGTGCAGAGGAGTGTTCATCCGTCTGACACGCTTTTGGGTTTCACAGGCTCTGAAATCAAACATGGTTGACTAACAAGGAAAACTTTTCCTGCAAGCAGGTAGACTGCATAAAGGAGAGGAGAACTTCAGCATTTGTCACTGATCCAGCAAAATGCTCAAGCTTATATTTAAATACGTAGTCACTTGTGAGCGTCTGCAAAGTTAAATAAAGATACCAGTTATTTAGTATAGTGTTTTCCCTAGCTGAGTTTTTTGCTGGGGAACTGTATTTGCTAGGGAGTTGAGATGGGAAAACCCACAACATTGCTGCAGTCTTGGGAGGACTGATCCTGAATAGCTGCTCAATAAAGTAGGAGCCTCTAATCCATATTTTAGGCCAAACTATTACGTCCATGTAGTAAAGTTTGGATATTTAGAATGAGTAATGGTAGATTAACTCAGCAGTTTTAATGAACTTGTTTCTTCTGTAGAAGCACCTGCAAATTCAGGTGACACCGATGGATATTCTAATACATCAGAGACTTCAAATATACCAGAAGAGGAAGAAACTCAGGAGAAGACTGAGAAATTTAGAAATGAAAGTTTTGATGCTCGTGATGAAGTGATAACACTTCTACCAAATAGGGGAGAGAAAGCAGATTTCACATCTAGAACTATCACTGCTAGAATTCAAGAGGATGCACAAGAATTAAACTCTTGCCAACACTCAAACATCAACAAGACGACAGACGGTAACGTACTCGGTGAAGAATCAAACCAAACTGAGGAAGCAGAGACGTTGAGCCAAACTCTTAGTGTAGTACCCCCTCTGCCGTGGTTCAAACCAACTGATTCATAGATAAGATCATCCCATTAGATTTCCACAGTGACTAGTTGAAAATCAAGTAACACTGCATAAAATATTCTTTAACTATAACAACAACAAAAAAAATCTGAGGGCTCAACCTGCAACTTCTGCTAGATGAAAGTGGAATTCCACTTCTCACACGTGCCAGGTTTAGTGACAGGACAGGAGAGCTTGCAGGCTTCCCTGTGTGGTCTGTCTGCCAGCAGAAGCTGGACATCACTTTAGAGGTGGTTTTGTGCCTTCACATGTGGAAAAATGCTTTAGTAGATTTGTGGAATACGTTCTTGCAAAATGCAAATATTAATTTATACAACGTAAAGGAGACCAAGAATGCAATGGAAAGACACAGGGCTGGATTCAGCTGTGAATTCTGCAGTTAGTCAGGTCCCCAGCACTTTGGTTTTGCAGTGCTTGCTGTTGCAATATAGAAAATCTTTTATTCTGACAGTTCTCTGCAACTGACTGTCGTTTATTCTTTAGATTTACCAAGAGAGAAGGCAGCTACTGAAGAGGCCGTGCTTCCTGAGCTGGATGAACATGCTGGAGCTGAACAGATCAAACCAGAGACACCAGAGAAACTTTATCTTGACGTATGTATTAGATTCAGATTTTGGTATTGTCTGCTCCCAAATTAATTCTTGTACCATCCTGACTAATAAAACTATATGGCAAGGTGTCTAACAAAGGTCTGCTATTAGGAAAAGTAAAAGGAAAGAAAGAATAAAACCCAAAAAGTAAAGTTGTAGGCTTATTCCTTCTCTCCAGTGTAGTATGTGTAAAGAATGTACCTCTGCTCCCAAAGGTTATTTTGTCCTTTGGCCATAAATCACCTGAAGCTGACCTTCTATCTCTGTGATTTCTCTGGAGAAGTTAACCAGGGCTCTCACTTTTAAAACAGAAATCACAACAAAAAGAATCCAGTGGATCCATGTGTCTTCAGGCAAAACTCAAATGAAATTTGCAGTTGGAAATGTAAAATTTGGCAGAAAAAGCATAAGGAAGAAATAGCCACCCACTCATTGTAACCGTTAGCTGGCACTATTACATATTATAAATTAATTCTCAAAATAGAACTTAGGTACATTTCTAAGAAGAGCAGAACATGCATTATTCAGGTATATAACAAGCGATTGGCATTTGTAAGATGGTCTTCTGTTATCTAAGATTTCTATCGGATGATGCAGTATTTATACATGTTTAACCACATTTATCCATGAGGAGGACACAGATACCACTGAAAAATAAAATCTCCCATCAAACTTCTGAGCTTATGGTTTCCCACAGCACTTAATATACTCTTTGATTCCTTATACTGCCACTACTAACTAAATTCTTACTGGAATGTTTTAGAAAAGTCTCTTATATCTTTTCCATACTCTTAATTTCCCAAGAAAAAATTCCATCCTGTTACTGAAAGGCTCAACTCCCTGCTTCAGCAGAGGGCTCGCTGCTGCATCCTCCTGTTTGCCTGTTTGTAATGACAGGTTTAACAAGGACAGTGGAGAAAACTGGTGGAAATTCCAAGTATATACAATATTATTTTAATAAGCAGATCTTGCTGAGTCTGAACTAAAATCTTTAAATAAAGAGCAACACTTCAGGGACCCACCATGTGAAGATCTCATAGACTGTTTGTTTTCCCCTGGTGCTGCATGGCACCATAGCATGCTCCTTTGCACAGACTTGAACATGGTCTAAAAGGAAATCTTCAGCATACTTGCATGGGGTTTCTTTTGATGCATTAGAAGTGTGACTATTCTAATTCTACAGAAGAAAAACCAAGCCCAAATCACATACTAACACACATCTCAGTGCTCTGCGCTACTTTGTTCTCCAACTGACGTCTAGTGATGGAAAGAGCTTTTCCCAACAGCCTCCAATACTTACGCTACTGCAGATTTTCCAAAGAGACTTTGTGTTGACATAGTGAGGGATGGCTGTGGAGACGCCGATGGTGAGAAGCTCTGGAGCAGCACCGTTGTCCTTCTCCATATCCTGTAGTCAGGAGATGGTCTCAGTAGCAATATAAGGGAGAAGAGTGGAGGAGGATTTGTAATGTGGTGGTTACAACATCTCTCTGTCAAGCAGAAACAAGCCCGTTGTTGCTGCACATGCCTTGGTGTGGGGTTGGAACGATGTTGTGTGTGCCTAAACCAGGATAACTTTTAATAAGCCATCTTGGTTTGATCTGCAAATGCACCCTGCTGATTGGAACAAGACTAACAGCTATTTCACTTCCCTGTTGACATCACATTTCATCCACTATCATTAATCTCAAATCTTTATTTGAATATTTTTAGTGCTATTCTTATAAAACCATGTGAGTAGCTGCAACCATCTCAGGACAAAGAAATTTCCTTTGTTGATTTTAATTCTCATGCTGCCGTGCCAAGCCGCTTGCTACAGAGTCATTAAGCAATAAAGCCAAAAGAAGATGGTTTTACCAGTATTGAGCTACATTAAAGAATTGGCAAAAGCTATTACTTTCTGTCTGTGAGTTTGTATGCCTGCTCTCTATTGTTTTCCTTTTGTGTCAGCAAGTGGCAGCATTTTCTAATGGAAAGCTGAAATGATTGAACCTGTCTGAGGAAAAACAGTTCTCAGCAAGTTTCCAGTTCTATATTGTGAGGCATTCACAGTAAAACACTGTTTTATTAGATGTATTTAGGTGAACAGAGTTTACTGATACACAGTTTCAGGTAGACTGCAGATCTTGATTTGACTCTTACACATAAAGATGGGTTGAAGTTGAGATTAAGTCTATTTTCCCTCTGATTAATGATCTTGTGATTGTCTTCAGGATCTGCCTGATTTAGAAGATATAGATGTAAATGAATTTCTCCCAGAAGAGGAAATCTTTGTTCAAAAGGTAAGATTCTTATTCTTTGAAACTTCCCTAAACACATTTACAAATGTTTTGCAAAATGAGGATAATTAAGTTGTGAAATACTGTTTTGGGCGATGCAATCAGTTGCGCATTTATAAACTAAAGGGGATGTTTCAGCAGGTCTTCTCTGTCCACTTGCAAATATTTGTTAGTTTGATTTTTTACATTATTGTGTTGCAAAAATAGGAGAACGAAAACCTAAGATCAAGTAATGGAACAGTTAAAGAAGATTAATTTCTTAGTAGCATAGAATCATAGAGTGGTTTGGGTTGGAAGGGACCTTAAAGACCACCCGGCCCCACCCCCCCTGCCATCAGCAGGGACACCTTCCACTAGACCAGGTTGCTCAAAGCCTCATCCAACCTGGCCTTCAACACTTCTAGGGAGGGGGCATCTACAACATCCTTGGGCAACCTGTTCCAGTGTCTGACCACCCTCACAGTGAAGAACTTCTTCCTAATATCTAATCTAAATCTCCCCTCTTTCAGTTTAAACCCATTTCTCCTTGTTTTGTCCTTAACTGCCCTTATGAAAAGTCCTTCCCCAGCTTTCTTGTAGCCCCTTCAGGTACTGGGAGGCCGCTATAAGATCTCCCTGGAGCCTTCTCTTCTCCAGGCTGAACAGCCCCAACTCTTTCAGCCTGTCTTCATAGGAGAGGTGCTCCAGCGCTCGGATCATCCTGGTGGCCTCCTCTGGACTTGTTCTAGCTGCTAGCCCTCCTCTGGACTTGTTCTAGCATGTAGTGTTTTAATGAAGATTATTCTTAAAATATACTTTACAGTACCAATATGCTGCAAAGAACTGACTAGATAGAACAAATCACCTGCTACTGACTAAAAATCAGACTTTTCCACTGAAAACAGAGAGGTTGAAACTCTGCTCCTCTGCGAGCTCGTCAGATACAAGGCAGTTCATGCCCACACTGGCGTTGTGCTGTGCTCAAACTGATGTACTAGGCAAAAGCCCAGAAACAGAAAAAAAAGAGAAAAAAGGAAAAAAAAAAGAAATTACAAATATGAAAAGGCCAGCTTTGATTCCTGTGCTGATGTTGACTCATAACTTGCCTTGCTGGAGGCAGAGGCTGGCACAGTACGTGTTGGTACAAATCCCTCCAAGGTGACTCAAACTTTTCCTACAGTAAGCGTCAGGCATGGAATTTATTTTCTCTTTTGGTCACAGACACATAACAGTGTTGAGAAATGTCCTGGCCAACAAAACCTCCAATTAAAAGAAGATAAGGAAAGGGAACAGAGGGGATTATTGAAGGAGTACACATTAGGAGCTCTCACGCTCCGAAGGGTGCTCAGTGCTTAACTGAAGTCAGAGGAAGATGTTAGTCAGGTTGGAGGTAAAGCAACAGAACTGAGCCCACACGTTGCTGAATTGCTGAAATAGGTCTTTTTATGAACTGTTAATAGTTCATTGTCAGTTAATCCCTGATACCCAAGAAATAGTTAATGCAAGATTAGTCCATAAAGACGCAGAGCTATGGGTGTGAAGCACGTCTTCCATACATCTTGGGAGAACAGCACATCAAAGCCAACAGCTGTTATGTGGATCCAAAAGATCCTGACCCATCTTTTAGCTTTTACATCTAGAGTAA